AAACCCAACTTGCAACAGTTAGCCCACCATGGTAAAATCGCCTAGAAATGGCCAAAATGCCGCTGGTGTGTTTTCTTGGTCATTTTAACGTGGTGGCCTGAATATTGTAAAGTGAGTTTTCTAGGCCACCATACGAAAATGACCTAAAAACACACCTGGCGCATGTAAGGCCAATTCTTGGTGATTTTAACGCGGTGTCTTAGAAAACTCAATGTGCAAAAGTTAGGTCACACATCTTGAAAATGCCCAAAAATATATAGAAAGTGACAGCAAAATTAGTGAAAAAAAACTCACTCTGAATTTGACTTCTTTAGCGTCCTGGACTCGATGGTTGGGATCTGCTCTCTGGTTGAGATGGCCCTCTGGGTGCTCTTCGTAAATGGCCGGGTCCTTGTGAGCCCATCGAATTATCCCCAGATTTCTTGAGAAAATATAGGAGATGGTATTTTTGTAGCCTGGTGGCGGCGTTCTCCAACTTGCGGCGGAAGCGAGATTGGGATATTCGGCCACAATGACAACGCCAATCTCACGATCTTGATCAGAGGCCTTGTAATCTTTGTTGATGGACTGAAAAGAGTTATTAGACGCGTTGTTTCGAAAAAAATTGGTTTACCAAGAGGTTGTGCTGGTCCGCGAGGCATGTCGATTTCACATTTTTATAGATGAATTCCATGGTCCAGGGCTGAAAAATAATGTCACATTTTGCTGCTAAAAATCAGTTGACAACTTTTTGATTACTTTAAAGGTGGGGGGACAGGAGATTTTTCGTAGGATTTTTATAGCTAGAGTACGCATTCTACCGTAACGGTGTACAATGCTTAATGTCATTCTGCGTACATCTGTCGCACTTTCAATACTCGCCCCGACAAGTTCAACTCCTCGAGGGGCACATCAAAACGAAATTTCGAGAACATTGTTTTTTCAATTGTTCTCAGAATTTCAGAGTACACTAAACAAAAATAAAGCGTCAATTTTGTTGTTGACAACTTTTTTGTAAAAATTCATCTAAACGAGATAAGCCGCTTAAAACAAACCAGGTGCCAAAAAATCCAAAAAATCCCAAAATATATTCCCAGTCGTGCGCCTTCAAACCAGCTTATCTCGATTTTTTTTTGGATTTTTACAAAGATTTGTCAACTACAAAATTGAAGCTTTACTTTGGTTTAGTACACTCTGAGGTTTTCAGAAACATTAAAAAACTCTGGACCACTTTTTTAGGATTCCAAAGTTGACCATATTCCACTGAAAACGAAGGAATATGATAGTTGGGATACTGTATCTTAATTCCCATCATAGCAGTCAAAAAGTTGTCAACTGATAAAATGTTTATCATATCATCCTTAACATTTTGTCAGTTGACAACTTTTTGATTACTGTAAGGAGAACTGAGATAACATATTCCTACTTGATCACTGGAAATCAGTCAACTTTGAGGGGTTGTATCTCGGCTCTTTTGAAAGATGCCAAAAAGTGATCAACTGATAAAATGTTTATCATCCTTAACATTTTGTTTGTTGATAACTTTTTGATTACTGTAGTGTGAGCTGGGATACAGTACCCCAAATTGCATACTCCTACCTACTTTTTCTGTGTAAATCAGTCAACTTTTAAGGTATGTATCTCGCCTCTATCAGAAGATATCAAAACGTTGTGAACTGATAAATGTTTATCACAATGTCACCGATATTTTATCAGTAAAAAATTTCAGAGTATACTAAACAAAAACCGGGCTTCAATTTTGTAATTAAAATTGTTTTTCGAAATTCGTCCAAATGACTTGGCTTGTTTCAAGCGGTATATCTCATTTGAAGCTCTAATTTTGAAAAAGATTTCAGACAAATCCAAAAATTCTGGACCCACTTTTTGCCCCCAACCGAATCACTGAAAAATCATAACATGATATTCGAGGTACTGTATCTCATTTCCTGTAATAGTTATCAAAAAGTAGTAAACAAAAAAATGTTTACCATAATATGATGAACACTTTATTAGTTTATCACTTCTTGATATCTTTCACATGAAATGAGATAATTGAGCTTAAAATTAACGGAATTTTGGTTCTTAAAAAGCTGTATTCAACGGCCTATAACTTGCTTCAAAATCAACATTTTTTGTTGAATTAAACTGGAAAATATAGAAATTGGAAACGTCTTTATAGCCATATAAAATTTGATTAGAAACTGAAAACTTTAAACTTACAGTAGCCAACATGAATCCCGTTCCCATTCTTGGTACCTTCTCCTTATAAATCTTGACAATTTCAAAGACGGAGTTTCCAGTTGGATTGTACTTCGCTTTGATCTAAAAAAGCCAAGAATTCCAACAAAAATCAAAAAAAAAAAATGTTACCTTTCCTACAGTACCACCCGAGAAGTAGTCAATGAACTTCTCTTCCGGATCGTTGAGGTACTTAAGAAATGGCGACCAGACCCGATACCGGAATCTTTTCGCCATATCTTTGGAAGTTGCAATACGTTTGGCGTGATTGCATAGGTCTTGACAAAGACCTCTCCATTCTCTTCCCATACCTCGCAACGACTGATTGGTTCTGCCGAGAATTCGTAGAACTGAAAGATTTTGGAATATTTTTAGAAACGCTATAATATCTCGGTTCTTTTAAGAGATATCAAAAAGTGGTCAACTAAGAAAATGTTTATCATATTATTCTTAACATATTGTTAGTTAAACACTTTTAAATATCTGCTATGGGTGCTGAGATACAGTACCCCAAATATCATATTCTCATGTTTTTTTCAGTGGAAATTAGTCAACTTTCAGGTTCCAAAAAAGTAGTCCAAAATGTTTGGATTTATCTAAAAATTTTAGAGTACACTAAACAAAAATAGAGCTTCAATTTTGTTGTTGTCAACTTTTTCGTTCAAACTCATCTAAACAGGATAAGCAGTTTGGAACAAACCCAATTGCCGAAAATTCTAAATATCCAAAAATACATTCCCAGTCGTGTCCCTTCAAACCAGCTTATCTCGCTTTTTTTTGGATTTTTACAAAAAGTTGTCAACTACAAAATTGAAGCTTTACTTCGGTTTAGTACACTCTGAGATTTTCAGAAACATTAAAAAACTCTGGACCACTTTTTTAGGATTCCAAAGTTGACTATATTCCACTGAAAGCGAAGGAATATGATAGTCGGGGTACTGTATCTCAATTCCCATTGTAGCAGTCAAAAAGTTGTCAACTGATAAAATGTTTATCATATCATCCTTAACATTTTGTCAGTTGACAACTTTTTGATTACTGTAAGGAGAACTGAGATAACATATTCCTACTTGATCACTGGAAATCAGTCAACTTTGAGGGGTTGTATCTCGGCTCTTTTGAAAGATGCCAAAAAGTGATCAACTGATAAAATGTTTATCATACAATTTTTATTATTTTGTTAGTTGACATCTTTTCAATAAATTTTACAGTAACCGAGAAAAAGTACAAAAACTCACGTCTCCAAATATATCGTAGTACCTGCCAAGGCTCGTTGGCTCGTCGGTTTTCTCCATCTGCACCAGTCCATGCTCAATTGTGTAGAACTGGAATTTTTAAAATTTTCGAAACTTAAAAAAAAATTACTGCACCTTAGCATTTTCCTCGTCTAACTCTACACAAATCCACGGCTTGTAGAATCGCCCATATCAAAAGCTTGAAGAGCTTTGCAAAGTTCCATCTCGGTATTCATCTTTCTGGAAGATTCTTGGGATTTCTGAAAGATTCAAAAAAGTAAAAATTTAGTAATTCAGAAATTCAGAAATTCAGAAATTCAGAAATTCAGAAATTCAGAAATTCAGAAATTCAGAAATTCAGAAATTCAGAAATTCAGAAATTCAGAAATTCAGAAATTCAGAAATTCAGAAATTCAGAAATTCAGAAATTCAGAAATTCAGAAATTCAGAAATTCAGAAATTCAGAAATTCAGAAATTCAGAAATTCAGAAATTCAGAAATTCAGAAATTAAGAAATTCAGAAATTCAGGAATTCAGAAATTCAGAAATTCAGGAATTCAGAAATTCAGAAATTCAGAAATTCAGAAATCCCGAAATTCAGAAATCCCGAAATTCCACAAATTCGAAAAATTGGGGAAGCATAACTTGTCAGCTAGCGAGAGCACGAAAAAATCTGAAAATGTTCGGTGGGGCGCGTTTGCATTGCAATGTTTACAGTGGAGACAAAATAGGACTCAAAAATAAGCAAAAAAATAGATTTTGGGCCAAAAGCTGACGTTTTCCATACATTTGTTATTGGAAACGGCAAAAGAAGAAGAAGAAGAGAGAGAGAGTGTGTGTGGGTGATGGAGGGTGGCAGACAGGGAGAGGAAAAGAGTGTGGAGGGAGAGGAGACGCAGAGAAAAAGAGGGAGAGACGAGAGGGTGGACGAAGGGTCGGTGCGATAGAATAATGCCAGATGGACGGGGCGAGAGAGTGCTGGGGAGGAAGAGAATTAGAGAAATATGGAGGGGAAGAAATGTTTCTGCTGGGAGCAGGTGGTGGTCAGTTGGCAGAGCGATTGGAAGAGAAAGAGATTAGAAGAGATTTAGAAAATCAATAATGTTGGAAATAAACAACAATTCGGAAAAGTTCGAAGAATTTTGCAGAAAGATTCTTCAAAAAAAAATTGAAACATTCAGAAAATTCTGGAGAATCGAAAAACAAAAAATAATGAAAAAATCCTAAAAATCTGAAAATTTGATTTTTTAAAAATTCAAAAAATTCTTTAAAATGTTAAAATTCTCAAATTTTGAAAATGTTTAGATTTCAAAAATCAATGAAATTTTCATTACTGAAAAATCTTTTTAAAATCTGAAAATTCGAAAAATACTGTTAAAAAAATTTAAAGTTTTAAATTCTGGAAAAATGTTTAAAATTCGTATCTGAAATTTTCTGAAAAATTCAAAAGTTCAATTTTTCACATTTTTCAATGAAAAATAACACATTCCAATGAAAGAAACTTTTTCAAAACGTTCCAAACAATTTGAAAACTCTGAAAAAAAAATCATAAAATTCAAAAATTCTGAAAAATCTGAAAAATAGAACAGAAAGTGGTTCCCAAGAAAAAATTTAAAAAATTGTGAAAAAAAAATTAACAAACATTCCATCATTTATTTTATTTAGTTTCAAAACGAAATGGTAAGATCAATGATTTGTTTTTCTTATTTTCAGTCTGAACCATCTCGTCGACCATCGCACTGCATGAATTGTCTGATTTCGGTTCCAATTCGACTGTTTCTAAATCTTCTATTTCCCATTATATGCCGTTGTCTGCTGGTTCCAGATCTAGCTCCGACCTTGGTGGATCAGTGTTAGGATTTGTCATGCGGACGGTCAGGATTCGATTCCGGTCGATGCGCCATGTTGCAGCACCAAGTAGAGTAACGTGTCGACACAGAGTCGTATCGACACAAGTGAAAAATATCTGAAAAATCGTATCGACGCAAGTCGACTCGTGTCGACTCGCGTGCCGTGTCGACTCGTGTCGTGTCGACTCAACTGTCGTGTCGAATCGAATCGACTCGACACGACACGACACGCCATTTCAAACGCACTCTATTGAACGACAGTTTTTGGAGGGAGTTCAATTTCTTTTGGATTTTAAAGGGGGACTCCGACCAAAAATGTTTATTGCATTAAAATGTGTTAACATTTATATATTTTTCAAATATTATTGCGAGAACATTCAAAGATTATCCAAATTGCCCTAAAATCTACCTATTCAAAAGAAGTGAAAAAAATTGGGAATGAAAAAATCCACGTGGCATAAAAAGGAAAACAATACGTAAAATACGTAAAATTGAATATAATTTTTTTCTGTCCCATTGACCTCGGGAAGATTTTTATAAAAGAAAAGGGAAGTAC